GTTTTAATCCCTTGTTTGTTTTGGTATTCCCTAAAGAATAAACTTTTGCTGTTTCCACTACATCTCTTATCTCCGCCACCTGGAAACAGCACATACAAATGTTATACATGTACATGTAGTTAACCCTTTAAGCCCCAAGATCCAAATACAAATTCTCCAGACTCATCTCCATACATTTCTTTTAAGAATAGTTGAGAGAATTCGTTTAAGATCAAAGTATTCTCGCTTTGGTCATCAATTTAGTAATTCTCATAACCTTTACTCTTGTTGATCTGCTGATGTTGTTAGGAGAAAATTGATGTTGGACACTCTTGAGACCTAAAGGGTTAATAAACAAAGTAACAATACTTCTGGCAAATTAACAGATTATGTATGCCTTCAATTCACTTGTGTGTTCAACTTCTTTTAAATGAAGGGCAGTAAATAATTTTCATTGCATTGATCAAATCATGACTTCAAATAAATTGTTTAGCATTTTGGCGCAAGGATTCAAAGCTACAACTTAATAGACATTAGATAAATTTGTGAGAAACAGACATTTATGTTTCATCAGGCGATTTGGAGCACTTCTTGGGCAGCCCCCTCTCCACATAGCCCAACCAAAACCCCTTATGAACTAAGTATCTTGTAAAGTATGAGTCAGGTTAATCAGCAAAAATTCACAATACGTACTCATCAAGATCATTAAACTGACAGCTGAAAAAATTGCATGGCTTGAGGAATGGGCATGGTAATGCTTGTTGATAAACTATCTGAGATTCAAAGAATCTTTTACCCGGTATACTGGTCTTCCATCATGGTTTCCAATTCCAACACGGACAAAACATCCAGCAATGATCTTGCCAAAGAATGGCATGTGCACCCACCTAATAAAAAAAGAAAAATTTACAAAAAATATATCATATGTTTTCATTAAAAATGATTAGAAGTAAATGCAAGAACAGCTCTGAATCCTCAGATGTAAATCATCTATTGAGAAAGGAAACTTTTCTGTTCAATAAGCAAATCCACCTTGCCTTGTGACTCATTACTGACCTTTCCAGCTTGTGTCTTGAAATTCTTATTCTTTCCAGATCATCAATTGTACTAACTTTAAGAGGCTCGTCTTCAACTTGTCTAAAACATAATAAAAACAATAAAAGCAAAGGGCAAAAATAAGGGTATTTTACATGAATGTGTTCATGGTTTTCTGAGTTTGACAGTTAAAGGGTATTACATGCAGATGTACATTTCCCTTTAACCTGAAAAAAAAAATGAAAGCGACAGCTGGCCTTCTGTTTTCAGTTAGCCTAAATTTAACTTCCCCTATAAACAGAGACAATTTGACAAAAGTGTTGTAGAAATATCAACTTAGAGTAATACTTACTCATCTTCAGATTCTCTGTAAGATCCTTCTCCTGAACTTGATTTGCTTTCCTCTTGCTCATCTTCATCTTCATCATCAGTAAACACGTCACTGGCCTTTAGCTGTGGCTCCTTCGGTTCTGCAACAGTTTCTGCTGCTTTCTTCTCCTTTTTCTCAGATCGTTTAGCCTTTAAATCATCCAATGCCTTGGCTTTCTTTTCTTCAATATGTCTCTTGCGCTCCTTTTTCCTTAGAGCTATACCTTCTTTTTCAAGATTTGCCTTTTCTTTCTCGCGTTTCTTCTTCTTTTCTTTTTTCTTGGCAAGCCTCAACTTCCTTTCAATTTCAAATCTTGTCTTGAGGGCCTCTCTTTTTTCAACACGGTTAAATAATTCCTGCTCACGTTCTTTCTCAGTCATTTTTTCAAGTCTCTCTCTATCTGCTTCATCTCCCATGAGATTATCATCCCACCCATCATGGTACTGTTCATCCTCTTCATCTTCTGATGACGATGATGATGATGATGACTCTGTTTATTTGAATTAAAAAAAACACACACTATTAAGGATACAAAAGTATTAATGAAGGTATAACCAAAGACAGAGCTGAACCCATTACAGTTACATTGATACACTACAGTGGTCCTCCACATCTACAAAATGCAAAGTCTCTCTACCTACAGCCCCCCTCCCCCATGGTGTAGTTGAGGTGGGATTACCTAGATGCGAAACGAAGCTTGAATGTAGCCTGCGACGGCAGCCATTTCTCCTCGCTCATCGCCGCTGAGGGATGTTACGTGAGGAGGAACGTCTGCGACTCAGCAACAGAAATTCCATACTGATGACGCAAAATCTGTCCGGAATCTGGTCAGAAGCACTAATTGGTCGACGGAGTAGATTCATTGTTTTAGCTATTGTTTACGAATGACAGACAAAAGACAAAAGGCCGCAAAGGTCAAATGTAAACGCGATGAATCTCTAACAATATGCGAATGGAGCTCATTCACAGACGAACACAACACTTTACCAAAATCGACCAGGAAAAACGTAAAATGGAACAAATTTGCATTTGGAACCCCATCACAACCGGATTTATTATATAACATTGATTTACGTCATCAGTATGGAATTTCAGTCGCTGAGTCGCAGATGTTCCTCCTTGCAAAACGTCCCTCAGTGGAGAAGAGTGAGGAGAAACATCTGCAATTCGCAGGCTAAGCTTGAGTGTTGTTGCAATTACCACCTACTGACAACGTAACTGGTTTTGAGAAAGGTGGCTGAAAGCAAAAATTGACTTTGTCTGAAGAATTTATGTATTAACTTGAACTGAATAAAAAGGAATGTCTCACCACCAGATGAAGTTTCACCACTTTCTTCTGAAGAAGATGCTGAGGATGAAGCAGCTTTCTTGCCTCCTTTCTTCACCTTTTCCTTTGCTTTAGCTTTCCCTTTTCCTTTACCATTTTCAGAATCCATTGTCCACTAAGAGAAAAAACATACATTAGGGCCATTTATACGAGGAAAAATAAGACGCATCTTACATAAGACGTGGCTTAAATAAGACGCGAACTTTCCGTATAAACGGCACATTTCGTCTAAAATAAGACGCGACTTAGCTAAGACGCGTCTTATTTTAGAACAGCCCTTAACACCTGTTCTTAGATAAGACGTGTCTTAGCTAAGACGAGAAAAACTTCATATAAATGACCTTTGCCAGAATGTATTCTGCGCTTGCGTATCATGCGTACGCAATTAAAAACCGCGCGGTGCAACCTAACGGCAACGATGCCCGTTGTAAGTGTACTTTTGCTCAGTTCTTGTCTTTATTCTGCGCTTGGTAAATATTGAGCTGTTCTGGTCTTAGATAAGACATGCTCGTATAAATGGTACAGTTCGCGTCTTATTTAAGACGCGTCTGATGTAAGACGCGTCTTATTTTTTCTCGTATAAATGGCCCTCTTGTATAACACCTAAGAAAATATATTGAAATCTACAAACAACAATAGCGTCGCTTGCATCTAAGCGTGGACACAAGACAAAAAGGGTTGCGACATGACGTGTTTTGCAGCCAAACATTTGTTGACAGCCATTAAAGCAAACTGTTGCACCAACGGTAAGTTGTTTATTTTGTTTTTGACCTGCGTGTTCCACTCATATTTCATTTTTCTCAACTCTGAGGGCCCCATATTTCTTGCTCAGAAACAGCACACTTGCCTCCAAAAAATTATTCTTAATGTCTAAAAATTCTTGCAAAGAATGTTTTGTTGAGCAAAAACAAATCAAGTCAACAACAGCTGCCTCCTCCAAACTTCGAATGTTTGGCACCAAAACATGTCACGCTTGCACCCAATTAGAACATGTTTTTTCCTCAAACAATCTAAAATGCTAACGAACAGGATGCTAAATAGTGAAATGACAGTGTGCAAAGGAAATCATTTTTACAGCTTGACATTCGGGCAAACGGAAGCTAGAATTTACTAGCCCAAACATCATTTCAACTAGCCCCAAGAGCTTTTTGACGAGCAGAATTGATTTCACAGTTCCTATTCAATTTGAATTCCTCAAAAAACATCACTTGTCCATCGTGCAAGTTAAGAACAGAATTCACTAGCCCAAAAGCAAAATCCATTAGCCCCAGACTATTGGACACTACTTTCTTTGCATGTTGAATGACTCGTTGGCTAAACGACCATAGACCGATTTTTGTTAAATACAGGGCTGCAAGGATGGAGAAGCAGTCATTCTACCACTTGCTTTAAATAGACTTATTGAATACAGGACGTACAGTGGTACTTCAGGAGTAAGAACTAAACACACATGTCCATTTATTTTATTTTATTAATAAAGGACTAAGGCTTTAAGACTAAGGGTGCTCTGGAGTTGTATAGCCCACGTATGCATTGATTTTTCATCCTAGTCTGCACACATGTGCTGCGTTAAACTTTAATGACAAATGTTAATTATAAATGTATGTAAATAAACGGATACAATTATTTGAACTGCTGCTCATTCCATCACATATAACTGGCTAATCAAGTTACTAGAAAGCTCAAGTCAAATGGGGGTGGGAGGTGTCTGTGATTTGAACGCGGGCAATTACATTACATGCCTTTTACTCGGGATCTACTATCCAAGCCCACATCCAAACAATTTTAACCATTCCTTCAATTCATTACCTCGTCATCGCTTCCTTCTGAAGAGTCTAAATCACTATCGGAATCTCCTGATTTTTGTGGCTTGGAATTCTCTTGAGCTTGTCTCGAACGCTTTGCGAGGGATTTCAGCTCCTGTCAACAACAACAGTACAACAATTCCATAGTGAGCGTCACTCTCAAAAAAAAACCCGTCCAACTTGAGATGCAGTAACTTTTTAGTCACCTCTTCGAAGTCTTGCTCGCTCTCATCATCGTCACTACTCGATTCTACCGCGACTCGCTTTCGTTTCCGCTTAGAATCACTGCCTTCCTTCGAAGTTTTACCCATTTTTCGCTCCTGTTCGAGAACATGGAGAAGAAGCTTTTACTTCCCAAAATGCATTTGGGGATAATTGTTGAGGCTTGGTTACTAAGTCTGTTGTCGTTCCGAGGCCACTTTTTTTGGACTCAGCATTTTATACGAAGTCGCATTTACGAAGATTAGCGAGATCTTATACCCTCATGAAAGTCACAGAAAATATGGCTGCTACGTTACCTGATGGTGATTTTGCAAATGAGGATGTACTAGTAAACCAAAAAGGAAAAAAATCGTCTACTTCGAAGGCGTCAAGAAGCAGTAAATTCAAGGTAATATACAGCATATCGTTGGTTTAAAGTTTTTATTTCATCATTCTAATATTCATCTTCGATTCACAGCTAAACTCGTTATCTAGTGAGTCTGATCTGTCTGAAGTGCTTGTTTCACTGTTATAGGAAACCAAACCCATCCCAGAAGGATCTAAATCAAATTTTTCAGCATCAGCTTTAGAGAAGTCGAAATATACAGCTGGCAGTGAAAGAAGCTTTCTTTTGCTGGATGAAAAGGAAAATCTGCAGGTATTGATGTTTACATGAATTTTATTTAGATTTACTTGGGTGTGAATGAGGAGGGAAAACTTAGTTGCATAATAGAAGAAGAAAAAAATCTCCTTTCAAATGTATATATATTAAAAGGACTTACACTCGCGTAGCTTTTCTAGGAACAGTTTGCTGTACTTTCAAAGATAACCTAAAATTAGATTATTCGTACGTGTTTATGACGGGAGGTTAGGAAAAGTCATCATGCCTTAAAAGGTTGAGTACATAAGTCGCGATCGAGTACTCTTTTGAGACCAGTTTTAACTTGCTGTCTTGGGGATGTGCCTTTCTAACTTAAAAGAACCGTGTTAGAGTTTTATAATAATTAACAAATTAAATATTAAATGAGACTAAGTATGATCTGGATTATGCAAATCTGGGAGGGTGTTATCTGTTGATCTGCTTCTAATCTTAAGATCATACAAAAGCCAAATCTAAGAAATAGAAATAATATTTACTTTAAAAACACGCCTACTTTGTTCAATGTTGAGTTCCCATCCTCATTAATTTGCCCGTTACTCAACAAATTTATGATATGAAGAGATGCTTTACTAATCTAGCACTCACTTAAATGTACAAATAGCAGTTGTCATACACCCAGCTGTATTTTTGTTGTTGCAAAATGAGCGAAATTTTCTGCCATTTTCTCCAGCTCTACCAAAACGACTGAGCTAGCACAATCTCTCTCCCACGACTTCCTGGTTACCCTACCTTTTTCTGGCAATAGCCCACACTATTGACGTCATCTTACTGAATATCGCAAATATCTTCCAAATTTTGTCAATTCTTGCTGTGCAGAATTCAAAAGAACTTTTACCTTAAGAATAAGATATTGAGGACCAAATTGTTTTGAAGACAATTTTAGGAATAGCTAAATTTGTTTTGCCACCATTTTGAAATAAGGTTATGCACTTCCCTCACTATGATATATCTCTTTCCCCTCCTACCTACCCTTAGAAGAAGCAAACTAATGTTTTCCCAATATAGCATTTTTCTCATTATCAAGGGAACACCTTCAGATCAGGACCAATTCAGAGTCAATAACACACCCAACTTAGATGTGAAATTTGGGACCAAGAATTAAAAAAGTCCATTGCCAGTGCTTAATCCCTGTTCCCTTACATGTACCTCCTCTCCGACTGCTTGTCCATGTTTGTGCGCAGTGTACTTAATATACTTGATCAAAGCTTTTTCAAAGATAGATTTTGAATATTGTACCACCATTATGCTCAAGTATCATTTAGATAATGTCTACATGCATGTATGTTATCATTGAGACCCTCTCAGGGAAAAAATTCCGACAAGCTATATGCTCTTGAAACGGTAATATAAGGCACATGAAATAGCAAGAAACAACATGAAGATGGTTGTTTGCAATGAGGAAAATTGCAAACACAATAGTAAAATATCAACAGCAACATGGTCTCCTTTTCAGCATATGAAAGGACCACTTTTGAAATTCAGGCTACGGACATTTGCATCCCCTCTATAAGAAGGCCTCTGATGAACCAGGTACACTGTATATTGATGTCTTGTAGGTGCATACTGTGGATGAGTTCATATCAAAGCTTTCATGTCGTGGAGAAACAAACATGAAGGTGGTTTCCATATTTGGAAACACTGGAGATGGCAAATCACACACACTCAACCACACCTTCTTCAACAGTGAAGAAGTCTTTGCAACCTCGTCGTCACAGCTTTCGTGCACAGTTGGTGTTTGGGCTGCTTATGATAATGTCAATCATGCCATCATCTTAGATACAGAGGGACTTTTGGGTGTGTCTGCCTCTGGGAACCAAAATCAGCGAACAAGACTCTTGCTAAAAGTTCTGGCAATATCAGACATTATCATCTACAGAACAAGAGCTGAGCGTCTTCATACAGATATGTTTACTTTCCTCGGCGATGCATCAGATGCATATCTGAAGCATTTTACAAAAGAGCTCAAGGATGCCTCAGAAAGATGTCACATGGATGTTCCTCTGTGCAGTTTGGGTCCGGCAGTCATAATATTTCATGAGACACAGCATACCCATTTGCTTGGAATGTCACAAAATGAGACTAGTCTTTCAGGTAAAAAAAGTTAAATATATGTAGAACTTAAACATCATATTTTCTTTCTTGAAATTTAATAAATACATGATTATAAATAGGGGTGACAAATAGAAAATCATAGGGTGTCGAAGAAGACAAGTCTCCAAGCCTAGTTTTATCGGTCTCCATAGAGTCAGAGTCTTGAACATTTTTTGCTGCAAAGGCTCGAAGTTTAAACAGAGGTCTCATCTACTCAGACTTCTCTTAAAGTCTCATGTTTTCTCATCAGTTGGCAACACTACTTTTTGTACTAAAATGCCACATTTTTACTTGAAACTGTTAATTACATCGCCCGTTCCAGTCCTTTGTTTTGAATCATCTTTTCCTTATTGCTAACTCATGGAGAAATAAATGACTGATTAAAAGACTTTTTTTTTTTTCAGAAACAAGAAGCGTTAAGAGCCCAGACGAGATTTTAAAGGAAAGGTTTGCAGATGTTGGTCGGGTTCCTTATGCTTTCAGCTCCATTAAGTATTTAGGTACAAGAACCATATCACCTCCAACAGACTTCACACAGCTTATTCAAGCTGTGAAGGAGAGTTTGGCCAACAGCTCTGTGCGCTCATCCCGCTCACCTGCTGTCATTTTCAAAGCCTTGATGGTAATTGTATAATAATTATATGTATAATTCTTGTTTTGGTAAGGAATATGTAAAATGTTATGGCTAGGGTTTTCAAGCCAGACCTGTAAATGTAACACCTGACACAACAGCCACTAACCTTGGCAATCCACCATTATTAATAAAGCAGATTTTCCATGTCTGACCAACTCTACTTAGTGACCAACATGCACCTCCTATTAGCAACCATTTATCCAAAACACCAAAATAATATTTTCTCTATCGCCCTATATTTGAAACCTCCAGTATTAACGACCACCTCTCACAAGTGACACTGCAAGCGCTTTAAGGATGACAGTTTTAGAATTTTTTATTGTTTTCAGCTTCTTCTAAGCAACCACCTGATACAATGCTCTGTTGTCTGTGTTCTCTGTATGTAATACAGTGTACATTTCACAGAGTGTGAGAAGAACTTGGAGAAACAAATCGATTTACCTATTTAAATACATTTTCTCCAAAAAATAAATGTGTCTGGAAAACTAATTCTCGTTGTACAAGTCACCTGCAGTTTGACTCTCAAAGGGACCACCCCCACCATAAAAGCAACCATTTTGGGTGATCATTTAAGGAAGGTTTGACTGTAATAATTAGCAAGGCATTGGTCAATGCTTTTGAGTTCCCTCTCAATTTCTGTTTTCTTCTAAGCTCCTTAATGAAAAGTTCAATGGCAACATTGAAAGAACGATACCCAACATGTTTCCTGATGCATACTTCACCTGCCAGGCTGCGTGCCTGTCATGCAAGTAAGTGGCTCACTATTATCCAGTGAAGATAGCCTGCATGTGTAAACCCTTTTTCTTTTGGTGCAATAAAGGATTTTGATTTTCCAAGCACTCTTCTTGTTTAGGATTAAGGGTAGAATGAGAGAGAACTTTCTTCCATGAAATTTGGTCTTTCTATAAGAAACATTTAGCAATGCTTTAGAGATTGGAGAATTTCTTCAGGAGTCAATAAACAAAGTTTGGCGTTTGAAGCTTAGCTGAAAGTTGTTTGGTTTTCTGCTGGCTTAAGAGTTTCATTTATAGCTAAGTTGCTTGTGATCGTCCTGTTTCGGGCAATAATCGACTAGTTTGCTTCGAAGATTTTTCTGATCTTTCTGATTTTTGTCACTTGCAAGAATAAAGTAATGTCTGCGTCCTTCCCTCGACAAAACGTCCACTCTCCATTGCAATTTCCTTCGCTATTCTTGAGCAGTCTAGAGTCATTGTCAGTTTTGTTTTGGTGGGCCAAGCTGGGCGAGCGTGTTGCATTGTGATTTGCATTAACCCGCCCCCACTGTCGCCCCCACTCAAATGACTGACAGAATAGAAAAACCCAAAATTCCTTCAAAGTTTGCAAAAGGCGCAGCACAATACGACAAATTTTGCAGTAAACAGAAATGACGAAATGTTATTTTTCCCTTGTGAAAAAAATGCTGTTGACAACCTATTTGTAAAGGATATTAGTTTCGTCGTTTCAACAAATTTGAGATTAAAATCTTTTCAATTGATACCGATATCTGTTCGGTTGCCATGGTTTCAGTGCACGATGTCAAAAGAGTATGAATCACGAGCAAGATGAATCAGTGGAGCATGAGTGTGAGGGCAAGTGTCATTATCAAGCTCAATACGACAACAGGATCTTCACCTGTAGAGTAAGTTACACATTGTTAAGTTGGTTGATGTGTAGGTGTAACTAGCATTACATTACATTTACATTACATTACATTTTATTTTATTGTGTTTTGAAGTAAGAGTACAATAACATGCCCGCGGGTAGCTAAGCTAATCTAGGCGGGTCATGTTTACAGAAAATAAACTAAATACAGCTAAAAGTAACAAGAGAACTAAAGAAACTAAAATTGACAACAATGACTAGAGACTACTGATAAACTAATGGTATTACTAATAATAAATGACAACAGTAATGACAAGAGACTACTGATAAACTAAACGATATTAATGATTACATATCAACTAAGAGGAAAATAAATTCAGCTTAACTTAATAATAGTTAAATAAATTCAGCAAGCCTCGCGAGAACGCGTGTTCTCGCGAGACTCGCTTCGCTCGCCCAAATAGGAGAGCTTGCTCGCAGGCTAAGGTGTAAACAGCAGCAGAATAGGCGTTTGATTTTTCAGGCGAGCGAGGGCAAACACGAGGTGGTAGTGGGCGAGCGTAGAGCACCAGACACGTGTGACTTAAGGGGGACACTTCCGTCGGGCGTGTCTTGCACCCCTCGCCCGTTTCGCCTGGCGCTTGTCGTCGCTTTTCTGAAACATAAGATGAGAAGCAAATTGGACGGGGTTTGTGGGTGGTTACGAGTCTAATATCTGCAAAGAGAAGTGAGATCGATTTAAGATCTCAGATGTTCTTCCATCCGTCCGTTTGGTCATTTGTTAATTTAGTCATTTTCATTCATTCATTTATTTGTTCATTTAGATGTGTTATGAAAGAGGAAAGCAAGTTGTGGTGATTCCTAAAATGTGTTCATCTAATGACTCCGGATGGCTTGGTTTCGCTAAATATGCCTGGTCCGGGTAAGATTGAACCTTTTCTTACCATAAATAATCTCCATTGAACCTCACTTCTTGATACTACTAGCTTAGACTCCTCTTACTCAACCTAATTTTTGACCGTTTACTACCCAACCTTATTATTATTTTGCTAGATCCGGATGTCCCTCGTACACAAAAGTGCGTCAGTTTGTAGCGCGTATAAATTAAGTGCCTGGCCCACTCAAATTCAACTGATGTTATAGACTGAAGCATTTATTTTTTGTATATGCTATATGATACTTCATAGTCATTATTCAAAGCGCTCTTGTTTATTAAAGGTAATAGCCGGAGACCTTCAGATTCGAAGACGAAGACGATTACAAGAAGAAAATTTGACTTAGAGTTTTTTTTGTTTTTGTTTTTGTTTTTTTTGGCATTTTCTAAAAAATGGATACCCCGGCCCGCATGTTCTCTTTACTTTTTTGTTCAGAAAAGTTAACACCGTGACGGTGATTTTATTGAAGGAGGTTGCACCCTCTCCCGGTCGCATAATGTTTTAACTTCTAACATTACGGAAACAATTTATAGCTTGTTCCCGTCACCATGACATTCTCGTAAAACCCGTACTAGAATGAAGGCGGCTATCGCGTTTTGCCGCAAACTGGTTCACGCGCGCGCACTCATTAGTATCGAGAAAATTCGTTCTCGACTAGTCGTCCTCGTCATCCCTAAGGTCCCTATTGTTACAGGAGACGATTTGCGACGACAATTTTCTAGGGCAACATCGTTGCAACAATGTTGTGACGAAGTGAAACATTGTCGCAACAATGTTTGCAACGCTGTGATGAACTGAAAATTGTCGTTGCAAATCACCCCGTGTAACATTTCCTTAACAGAGTCCAATACGTTGTTTTGTAGGTACGTCCTCGAGTGTGTTGAATGTGGTGTCATATATCGCAGCAGACAGCACTGGTTTGGTAATGAAGACCCAGTTAACACGGTTGTTAGGACCGAGCTCCGCCACGTGTGGCCTGGGGTGAGCCATCGTTGAATAAAATGACTTCTGTAGTAACAAACAAGTAAAGCAAACTTTAGAAAAAAGAAACACGTAGTCGTCGATCACGGTACGTCCTTTCAAACACATAGTCGGGGAAATGGACTGCAATTAAACCTGGAAAACAGTTATTGCTTGACAATTTACAACGTTTACTTGACGAGAGCAAACCTGCCGGCGCATCATTTTGCGGAATGCATCAGTCAATTCCAGCTGCGCCCGGCCGCTGACCCCCCGGGCATTAGCATTTTTTTTTTTTTGCCTTGGATGGCAAATTACCGGGGGGGTGGGGACTCTTGAGCTATCAAATCCCCCGGATTGGGGACAAAAAAAGAGGGCGAATGCCCCGTCCTCCGTCAACACTGCAACATTTTTCATTGATCGCACAGTCGAATAGTGCCGTTTTAAGCATTTTAATGTGCGATTTTTTGTTTCAATTAACGTCTTCCTTTGTAATAGCGCTAGGATTCTAATTAAGACTTCACGCCGCGACGACATGCACCAGTTTATAGCTTTAGTATTGATGTAAAATTATTGACATTAAGATCAATAGAGCGCTGTAAAGTTATATATTATGAATAGTTGCATGGGAAATGTTTCTCTGTTTATCGCATCTTTCTGCCTTTGAAAGAGCAAGAAAATAGGACAAAAACGTTAAACACGTCTCAAGATACTTGTCAACAAAGTTATCACTTGAATGCAGTGTCGATCGATGTGGTTCCCTTTGCCGATCAAACGCTTAGATTACCATTATCTTGCTATTATTTTAGGAGAACGTTTCTCCGCTGGACAGTGGTAATGCGGCGCGGCGCCTTTTGGATAACGTCAGTTATGTGACCGACGCGTTCAGCAGTCTCAGTACTCCATCAAGTAGAGCGCTGACCAACTGGATTACGGACCAAGTGGCACCAGACTACTGGATTCCCAACTCAGAAATTTCTGTACGTATCACCTGAAGGACACATTGTAGCGTGTCCTGTAGTCATACGACTGTAAATTGATGCAGCAGAAGTTGATTTAGCGGGAATGTCCGAATTTGAAATGGTGTTTGAGACTACAATTGGCGACAAAATTTTTGAGACACTGTCTTCCATTGGGGTAACTTCAGAGAACAAAATAATCCACATCCTTTCCCCTCCCCCTGCCATCCATTCAAAGTTGGGGTGTTTGTTGTTTTCTATAGGTAGGCTCGAACAGCGGCACAACATTGAATGAAGGGGATGGGGGAGGAAAAGCTTTATTTCGTCCTTTTGAAGTCGGCAAAACGTCAGAATGATGGCCCTTTAGAGCAAAGTGTCTCAACTAATTTTGTTGCCGATTGCAGCTTACATTGAGAGTGACAGAATATGTAGTTTCAGCGGAGTGAAAGGCAACGAAAAAGTTTTAGTAGTCTGCTTCAGTTTGTGGAACTTACTTGACATGATGACGTCTTTGCGAACTTCTTCAATCGATTGCAGCATTCTATGGGCGTTACTAAAACGCCGAATTTTCTGTTTATTTTTCAAAGTGGAGCACAAGGCCTACGGTTTCTAAATAGACCTTACTTATTCTTCGGTCGACAAATCTTTGAGTGTAGAATGTCGTTTAGAAAGTGGACAGTAATAAGTATTTGCATTCGTGTTTGGAAATGCAATTAAAAGGGAAGTTTCTAGTCCAAGTTCTTCCCAGAAATTCCTCTTGTCGAAACGGCAGACGATAAAACAGTCACTGTGATTAAATAGGAAATTCGGACTACTACACTGGATAAACGTGCATGCAATGGTATCAGCTTACAATGATTCACCTCCGCAGAATCCTGCCTTATATTGCCACGTCTCCGTGCAACTGTTAATGTCTGAGAACCGTCAAACAATAAGGAGGAACTTTTACACGACTGGGGACGCAAGCATAGAGCGAAAACTTTTGAACGCCGCAAGGAGAAATCTGTTAACGGGCTATGCGTTTGACTTGTACTCTCTCAGTTTCAGACTTCATTTCTTGTTTGTTTGTTTGTTTTTTCTCCTAGGCATGCCAAGAATGTCATCACGTGTTCGCTGACGGGGAGACCAAACACCACTGTCGCGCTTGTGGTGGTGGAGTCTGTGGTGAATGCTCAACCAATAAGAAACCTGTCCCAGAGCGAGGCTGGGGTCAGACGCCTGTGCGGGTTTGTGACCGCTGCTTTGGAAAATCGCCGTCGACAATTGAGATGCAGCCCCAACCGTCTTGTAACTTGAGGTAATATTTGAGATACATCCTTCTTTCAAAGGAGTTTCAGTTGTTTAAAACTCAACAACAACAACAACAATCTTTATTGTGCTCTTGATACAAAAAGTGTTAAGACATTAAAAGGAAATAATTGTGAAAAAAACGAGAGTACAGCCACTCAGAAATAGCAAGAGCTAATCGCGCTGAGTGGCTGGGCCATGCGGAAAAGTAACTAGATATCAAAGTTGTTATAAATAAACAAATTCACAAAAAGACACACAAAGAAGAAATATATAAGCTGTGATAAATAAGCAAATACACAAACAAATAAACAAAGAAGCATGACGAAAACAACGGAAAAAAATGAAAAAAACACGACGAAAAGAGGCAAAAATTAAGAGATTTCGTCGCTAAATCACTCTTCATCTTGCTCGCTGACCGCTGACTCAGGTTTGCGACTCTGGAGTACTTAACATGTACATGGGAAAACCGGAAATACCGGTTGGAAAATCAAATGGTTCGTGCAATTCCGTTTGGGAAGCTTTAAAAAACATGGTGTATAGTTTGAGGCAATAAAATTTTTTTTAGCCTGTTCAGCTGATAGCGGATCGTTCTCCCACGAAGTCAAATTTTATTTTATTTGTGCACGAGATTTCCACCCAGGTGGTTTGTTTAAGAGGTAAGCAACTTAGGGAACTGTTTTAACAAGGGAAAAAATGAACGTTTTTGTTGCCTGATAAGGGTGTTACTGCCCGCAATACACTACGACACAGGTTCGGTATCGTGTTCCCACTGGCAACAACTATATATATTACAACGATGGCTGAACAACATTTCTATAAGAAAAGAGTGTCGTCGTTATCAAACGTTATAGCTTGCGAAAGATGAGAAGAGATTTTTAAAAAATCGTATTTTTTTCTCTTGATTCAGTGATTTGTCAGACGCGCTAGACGAGGAAACGCATCAGGAATTAGTTTACCCACAAGGAGATCAGACATTATATTCCGACCAGCCGTTCGGTCCCGTAGCTGCTCGTAAAGTGACTGAGGTCGTCCAATCAGCAGTGGGGATTTTAAAAACTGCAATTGATTATCCCAGGGAATTGATCACCGACGCAGCTAGACCCGGCTACTGGGTACCAGACTCCGAAATTTTAGCCTGTAGTTGTTGCAACTCCGAGTTTAAGGAGACTGATGCGAAACATCACTGCCGTGCCTGTGGTATGGGCGTCTGCAGTAAGTGCTCAGAGAGTAGGAGGCCTGTGCCTTCAAAAGGATGGGATCACCCTGTCAGGGTCTGTGATCAGTGTGCTTCGAAAAAGGGACAACTTTAGATGAACCGTCATTTTATTTCAGGATGACGATAAGTTGTCCGATCCAAACAGTTGTTTCCAACCGAGCGTGGAAAGAAACTTCAAGATCGCTTTACTTTTGAATTGGTGCTTTTTGTTGAAACGAAAAACTCAACATCTTTCTCAGCCTATCAGATGGAAAGTCAAACACAAGTATTACTTGTCTACAGACAGTATTCCTGCACTCTTGGTTTCTGTGGTTTACTGGGTTAAGAACACTGTTCACTGCTTTGATTGGTCAGTCAAGGAACTATGAGGTTTGAAGAACACTATTTCGCTACCGTCGTCAACTACAGTAAACCTACGAGTAAGAACCTGGAACCTTTTGAAGAACCTTTTGGGCTAAGATTTGCCAATTAGGCCACCTCTATACAAGAACCCTTTTAGCCTTAGATTTGAAACAGATCTTCTTATTTTCTAAAATGTATAAACAAAAATCTGTGTACTTGGGCAAATGAGATAAGTCAACATTCAGGATCATTTTGGAGACATAGGTACCTTATCACTCCAACTTAATGTAACGATATGCAGATTTTACATGTATATAAGGAATAAGCTGAATATCATTAAAATACTCTTAGGTACAACGTATTTCTTTTTTTTTTCTTCAGAAAATAAAAATTTATGAATCTAAATACCCTAAATTTGTGCTATTTACCATTTATGTAAGAACCTGTTTAGGCTAACTTGGGAAAATACAGACCCTTGAGGGACGCCAGATTGCATTTGAGCAATGTCTGAAACTTGCCTTTAACGACAACTTACAGCTAGGAAAGCCTGTATCCAATCCCTTGTTTTATCCCGTACACCGTTGGAGTCCAGCTTTTTAATCACGCGCTGGTGTCCCACCTTAGGGACGGACCATTAGAAAAGTTATGGGGGGGGAGGGGAATTCTCGAGCCGCAGGAATTTTTTTTCGTTATCAAATTCCTTGTATGAATTTTTTTAGGCCATAGCATGAATAATTTTTAGGATTAATTGGCGTGCAATAATTTTTTTTCATTCAATTTTCCCTTGCGCGAATTTTTTTTTGTTCTTCCCCCTCACCCCCTCCCCCCCCCATAAGTTTTCTAATGGTCTGTCCCTTATCAAAAGCTTTCGAAAAGTCCATGATCAAGACATCCGTTTGACCCCGCCCTGTCTATTACATATCAGGTCATGAACAAATTCCAGAAACTGTGTCTCACAAGACCCGTTTTCTCTGAAGCCATACCGCAGATGGTACAGGAGTATCGGTCCTATAAAGCTCTCTAAGTTGTGCCGTGACTACATGTAGTCACCTGTATTTGTCACGCGATCTAAGTCAAAATAATTAAATGAATGTCATTTATGTCAAATTGATGGCGTTTCTCGTGAAAATCTCGCACTACACTATATATCATGGAGAGGTGGCCGTTATGGGGAAGTAGGGGTGTAAATATGACAGATTTTTTTCAGGGAGTACAACATGTTTTCTGTGCTAAGTTCATGCTTAAAAATAATATGGAGATAAAATACACAAAAACTTGAATAAAGTTTTGAATAGACTTGCCCAAAGGTCGAGCTCAAAATTTTTCTCGAGCGCATAACGTGTGAGAAAGAATTTTTTTTTTATCAAAGTATGTCAAAAGAAAGGCAGTTCGGTAATTATTTTTTGTAAACTCTGTACTCCACTATATATTTACGTATCTACCAATGTCTTTCTCTCCCTGCTATTCCTTAGCCGGAGCGGGGTGGAGAGGGTGCAGCTACCCCTAGGTAAAGATTTTGAAAGGGTTTGTAAAATGTGATCGGCGAGGAAGTTACAAATTATATTTTAAAATTGGGTGCCTACATTTAAGCAATAGACCACACTTTCTATGGGTTTACCGGCGTGATAACCCACTTTGGATGTAGGGAGAACACTCGAAAAGCTTGTCAATCCCCGGGGGGGGGACACTTAGGTATTTTTTGGGTGGGTATGTGCCGCCTAGGACTCCAAATTGGCACCCGGTTCTAAAAAAAATTTCCCCTAAAATTGATACCCCGTTCTAGAAATGGGCCAATTTTTTATATCCCGTTCTAGAATTCGCCCTAAAACTGATACCCCGTTCTAGAAATGGGCCATTTTTTTATACTCTGGTCTAGAAAGTTTGTAAATTGACATAGCCCTGTCTTTTGAAAAAGATATTTCTTTATTTGTTCGACTTATACATCAAATAAATGCTTCTTAATAATCAGCTACAATTTTAAGAAGATAAAGCCGTGATCCACAATTTTTTATACCCCGTTCTATATAGAAAACATCTCTGAAATGGATCAGAACGCGCGTACTATCTTAGTTTATTTTATAAAGTACAGCTCAGCGGCTGACCCGGTTGCGTGGCTACCAAGCTAATAGGAACATACTATGTAAATAGCATGCACCGCAAAAATCTTCAATGCCAACATCATGATCATCAGAAAAAGAAGAGTTTTTGTCATTTTTATGATAGTAATATGGCTTTTAGGAATAATATATTTTATATCAGATTCTGGATTTCTTCGCAACGATCCACCGAAGGTAGGTAATTATGTTATTTTTCTTGTAGATAAAACACGCTCCGTCCGTGGCGGGGAATGCTGTGCACTGGGAAATGGGATAAAAGATTATTTAACGAGGATAATAATTTAGTTAAAACCTGACGACTGTTTTTATATTACCCGGAAAATTGATTGGTAATTCGTGAAAATTAGAGACACTCGATCGAACAATGTATAAAATGAGCGAGCTTTTAATAATTGTTCCCCTTAACATCCCGTGTGCCATGCAAAAGTCATACCTGTATTCCATGTTGATAGACTTATATCAGCTGGAAGGTCTCTAAAGTGATTTAATAATCAAACATTTCCCGTATGATTTCATTTATAATTTATCCTTTCCTGAAAGCGTCCCACAGTGAAGGGTACGTATTTCAAATGAAGAAAAAAGAGAGACTTCTAGAGAAGGCTACCAACGAGATTTCTTGTAAGCAATGCTGAAACGTATTTTAAATTACTAACGATGTCATCAGGCCAAGCTTTCTGAAGTTTGGTTGCGCTTTTAATTCTTATGTGACGAAATAATTTTTGGTGGTTTGGTGGTTTCTTACAATGCATACAAGAACTAAAGATTTTTTTTGAAAAAACATTTTGATTGTTGCTACAATCTGTCTCAGTCAAACCTCTAAATTGTTGATCTGCATGTGCAGTGTAATACAGATCTAGTACTTATCTATTATAACACGAGAAATCAGAAAAAAAATAAAAGAAATAATTTTCATTACCATTATTTGATATTTCTGAAAGGATGAAACAAACAATAATTCTCAATTAAACAAAATATTATATTAATTAATAATAATAATGTATTTGTACATTGTTCTCAAAAAGCATTGTTATGACTTAAGGAATCTAGAGGACTGCCAAATATTTCACATTCAGTTTTATGGATTTGTTTGATTAAGACTATTATCATAAGTATAAGCTACCTTAAATTTATGTTTGATAAGTTGGTGTTTGCTGACTTAATTAACCTGCAGAGTGGCACATACATGTACACTTGGAGTTTCTTCTTAGTATAGATTTATTTTTATAGCACAACCCTTTTCTCTCCTTTTTAACCGTGGCAGGATTAATTCAGTCGGTAGAGCTTTTGACTACAGAGCGGGAGGCTGCAGGTTTGATTCCTGGGGCCGAACCAATGCTCAAGGTCTTAAAATAACTGAGAAATGCAGGTACTGCCTTTACACTGCAAGCAGCTAGACCTTCGCGTGGCTTGGATGACCACGTAAAATGGCGGTCCCGTCTCCAGTTGGAGACATAAGAATGGTGTCCCCAATTAGTACTTTTGCGCTGAATACCTTGTCACTCAAATAAAGTGCATTTTATCTTTCTTTTATACTCTTATATTTTCAGTCTTTCTTAAATTTTTAATCTGTCAGACAGTATAAAGTTGAAGAGAAGATTAATGCATGGCTTAGAGCCCAGTGCTGTAGGGTTCTAACTGTGGTGTCCTATTAGGCTGTTAACTTCTGGTTAAGAAAATACTCAAGCTGACAAAATGCTTCCTAGTATCATATACAGCTTCATTACTACATGGACATAATGAAGTATCCTTTCTAGCAGTGAGTTTCCTTAGACCACAGCTTTTCAGTTGTTAGTCTACAAAAATGGTAAACATTATTGATGGAATATTTTTCAATTTGACAAGCTTATTTATATATGTACCAGTAATAATTCAATAACAGTTCTAACAGGTTGAGCACCTGAAACTTAATGAGCCAAAAATCTAATGAAGGCAATAGTTCCAAGAGCAATGCCAAAGTGCTTGAAGGTATTAATGGACAGCCAAACACTGCTTGTAATGTTAAAGAAAAAAATAGAAAGCATATGACATTAGTTTGTTCAGTATTTATTGAAAATAATTAACAGCACAGTATGCAGCTTTCTGTTATTTCATGTTATAAATTTTTTATGTCCAATGTTTGCCACAAATGGAGAGGTGCTTGAAAACAGACCCCAAGTGGCTACTAATCTCACTTTAAATTTGCCCATTTATTTGACAAGCAAACAAACAGAGGTCATTTTTAATTCTGTGGTGAATCTGCCAGCTGGCACTCACTCAGGTTCAAATTTATGTCCTGTGAGCCTGTTTTATTTTTCAAGAAAAGCATCTACCTCTTGGCCTGTAGGACATATTTTGGCTTCATTGACATCTGCTCCTAATGCTGATGCACGTCTTAATACACTGAAGTGCTTTTTTCCACATTGTATGTGGAGGTGTGTGTGGCCGAGTGGTTAACATCTTGAACTCTGGATCTTGAGGTCCTGGGTTCAAGCCTCACCCTTCGGTTGTTTTCTTAGACAGGGAACTTTACTCCACTTTGACTCTCTCTTCACCCACGTGTATAAATGGGTACCAGTGACATACTGTTAAGGGATAACCCTGCAATAGACTAGCATCCCATCCAGAAGGGAGTAGCAATACTCCTGAGTGCTTTATGCTAATGAATTGAAACCAGGATAAGCTCTGGCCGTTTTGGGCCTTTGGCTTGTGTGCGCCTTTACCTTCCACATTGTATAAAGTGTTGCTTTACAGTCCGCTCCCCTGCATCTCCTCCCATTTTACTGACCTTCGAGCCACAAGAGGTTAGTGTTGATACCAATATTTCCCCTTGGAAGTTATCGGACCTTCCCTACATGTTTGTGCTTTAGTAAACAGGTACATCACATGAAATATGGTTTAGGAGCTGCACTTTTACTTGTTTGCTTAAATAGTCAATGAGACACAAAGTCCATCAAACATCAGTATCTTATTAAGTGCCTGCAAAACAATCACTGTGTCCTCTTCTCGAAAGCACATTTGTCTGACCAGGTCTTCATTTTAGTTAGAAAACTAGAGTAGTTGTTGACCTTAATATATATTAATTTTTAACTCCTAGACGCTTCATTTCTTCAGCTACAAAATGATAGTCTTACTAGCTACAATCAGCAACAAAATTGTTGAGACATTGTACTCAAATGGGGTAACTTCAGAGAACAAAGCAATCCACACCTCTTTATTTAACCCATTCGCTCCTAGAGATTTTGCCGAAAAACGCGTTTTGAAGCTAGTCGAGTGGTTTTCTGGTCACTGTCGTGCTATAAAGAGCTAAAACTTACCACAAACTGGTTTACAGGTCGAACACTTCGCGGTCTTCCGATCCAGATGCAAAATATCAGCTTGCGAAGTTCGGGCATGCGCAGAAAGCAAAATTTCGACATAGTTTTTGGGTTTAAAAGTGACACAGCAGTCTTGACTTTTACTTTTCGCTTTCTCTCCTCCCTTCTTTTTTTGCTTTTCTTGCCTCATTTTTTTTTTCTCTTGCTGGGCATTTAGTAGGCTTGATTTTGGTGGGAAGAGTTTTTAGGAAAGCTTTTAGGATCTTAGGATTAGGCGAAAGGAAAGGTAGGTGGGTAATGGGACAAGATTTTCATGGAGATTTTCAGGTCAATGTCACGTGGTTTTTTGCTTGTTTCTCCGGTGTCCTTGACTGAATTGTGCTCATTCTGGTATGGTTTGAAAGATCTCTTCACTCTGCACAAGTTAGTGAAGAAAGTTGTCCTTGACCGTTAAAACTGATGACGTCACAATGGGTAGAAAGGACCTGGATCCGCACGGGCGGTTACGGGCGGTTCAGGGGCGAATGGGTTAATCAAAAAACCTAAAAATGGCCTTTTACCAACTTTTTCACCTGATTTGACATGAAATAGACAGATTTGGTTGTTTTATGCTGAAAAGTGGATTTTTTTCAAAAAGCTTGGTCCTTTGCTTAACCCATTCGCTCCTAGAGATTTTGCCGAAAAACGCGTTTTGAAGCTAGTCGAGTGGTTTTCTGGTCACTGTCGTGCTATAAAGAGCTAAAACTTACCACAAACTGGTTTACAGGTCGAACACTTCGCGGTCTTCCGATCCAGATGCAAAATATCAGCTTGCGAAGTTCGGGCATGCGCAGAAAGCAAAATTTCGACATAGTTTTTGGGTTTAAAAGTGACACAGCAGTCTTGACTTTTACTTTTCGCTTTCTCTCCTCCCTTCTTTTTTTGCTTTTCTTGCCTCATTTTTTTTTTCTCTTGCTGGGCATTTAGTAGGCTTGATTTTGGTGGGAAGAGTTTTTAGGAAAGCTTTTAGGATCTTAGGATTAGGCGAAAGGAAAGGTAGGTGGGTAATGGGACAAGATTTTCATGGAGATTTTCAGGTCAATGTCACGTGGTTTTTTGCTTGTTTCTCCGGTGTCCTTGACTGAATTGTGCTCATTCTGGTATGGTTTGAAAGATCTCTTCACTCTGCACAAGTTAGTGAAGAAAGTTGTCCTTGACCGTTAAAACTGATGACGTCACAATGGGTAGAAAGGACCTGGATCCGCACGGGCGGTTACGGGCGGTTCAGGGGCGAATGGGTTAAAGTTGGGGTGTTTCTGTAGGTAAGTTCGAACAGTGGCACAGTATTGCATGGAGGGGATGGGGGAGGAAAAGCTATACTTTCCCCTTTTGAAGTCTGTAAAACATCAGAAAGCCCCTTTAGGGGTGAAGTGTCTCAACAAATTTTGTCACCGATTGCTGGTAATGTTCTTTCTGGTCATCTCGTCACACTACTAAGATTTTGTTGGACATACATGTACAGATTTTATACAGATATTTTCAATGACTTGTAGTTATTTGGAGCTCTGTTGTTGTGGGCCACCAGAGCAGCCATCAATCATAATCTCCAGGTTGCTGTTACCCATGCATGGTACATATGTGTAGCCAGCATTTGTCTGGACTACCACTAAGAATCAATGGAATGCATAGAGTGTAATCATGCATGGACCTTGGACCTTGTATTATTCACAATCTGATCATGAACATTTTGACTTTCTATCACCTGAAACTTTTGGAAAGCCCAGCGTTGGGGCAAGAGTGTTTTGACCTTCAATCTTGCCTGCACTCCTAAACCTTTGGTTATTAAGTACCAGTTATAGTCTAATTTTTTCCATGTGTGTACTTTAGTATGTCCATGAGGAAAATGGAGTGAGTAGGCCACCATTTGACGAGCAAGCTTATTTAAGAGGTGGTGCGCTGAGGGAAGGAGAGGACAAGTACAACAGAAATCAATTTAATCAGGCTGCTAGTGATGCAATTGGTGGAGATAGAAGTGTTCCAGATACGAGACATTCACAGTAAGGTTTATAACGCTCTAGTCGAGTACAAAATTGAATCATGACAATTAGCACAAAAGTCGGTTTATTTTTAGATGTGGAAGATTTATAGCCCATATGAGAGACCAGGAGATTGCTGCTATATATATCCAGGAAATTTCCAGACACCAGAAGAGTTAATTATGCACCTGATCTATATGTTCCATCATTTAACAAGCACACAGATGAGGCAAATGAAAGGCACAATCTTCAAGTAATGTGAGGCTTATCCAAGGTTGTGCTCTAATGAACATTGAAAGGAGCCGAGTTCTTTGAACCTGTAAAAACTAGGCTGCCCAGCACATGATTTGTATGAAAAATCTGGGATTTTCTAGTCACCCAGAGCAAAAGTTAGGCATCAGTAGTCACTAGGTTTTGCTAGAGCACAGCCCTGTAATCTGTATGTTATTACATCCTATAAGTGGATAGTACATCCTGTCTGACTTATGATAATGAATGATATTAACTCAAACCTTCAAAATGTTTTTGTTTGCTTTATTACTATGGAAGATGTCGATACCAACAGTATCCTGCAGATCTTCCAGCAACGTCTGTGATAATAACATTTCATAATGAAGGGAGATCAACACTTCTTAGAACTGTAAAAAGGTAAATTCTGCATTTTTCTGTTTCATTCTCACAGGTTGTTTTTTTTTATTTGTGTACAAACTTTAGTTTGTGAATTATTTGAAGCAGACAGTTTGAATTTAATAAATAAAATGTAATGTATTAATCTCCTTGTGTTTTTTTTTTTACTTCCACCAGCATTTTAAATAAGAGTCCTCCAAAGTTAATCAAAGAAATAATTTTGGTAGATGATTTCAGTGACAATGGTAAGCATAATTTAAATTTGCAGGGTTCATACAGTCTTGAAAAGTCCTTGAATGTTATGGGAGTCCTTGAAAAGTCCTAGATTTCTGTTTTCCCTTCCAAAGTCCTTAAATTGTCTTCAACTTTAAGTGTAGTGGCCTAGAAAGTGTTTTAATGCTTCTTATTGAAAGAAGAGGAAGTTAAAGGTGATTTACATAAAACGTTTTTTGTTTTATGCAAGAAGTACATGTATTCAAACTATCAAAATAATTATTTAAGACAATAAATGAATTGAAAAATTTTCATTTTGATAACCTTGTACAATGTAAAGCACTTCAGGATTTTTTTTTGTAATTTTAAGAAGTATAAATTAATAATCATAGTATACCAGTAATACCGGTAATTATTATAGCTGCAGCCACACTAGTGGCTGGTTGAATGTGAATATCAACTGGTGGCCACTTGAGTTTCTTACTGAACCCAATGTATTTACACAGGAAGCCAGACTAGGAAGGCAGTCATGGACTCCATCGTCACATTCATCGATATCTGTAAGAAAATGATTTTTCACAGTTTGATTTGAGTTTCGAGAAAAATGCTCGGCTTCATCTCTCCTACATAGTATAGTATATAGTATATCAGGGGCACCCCACGTCAATTTTCGAATTTTCTGTTCGGAAGACGATTTGAGACCTAGAATCTTTGGAACATTTGTTATTAAATTTCTTGCTTGCCTGCCTTTCCTAGGATTTTCGAACATCTAAAAAATGGTATAATTTCCCATTTTTAACGGTTTTTTACCCTAAAAAGGTCATCTAGAATTTTCGGGAGCCTTTTTTGTGGCAGAAATTTTCGAAAAGGTAAGTTCTGATCCCTATAATTTTCGGATCACTAGACTCTCAGCTAGGAAATCCGAAGAGATGAAAAATTTTTAGGGGATAAAAATATGCCTATATCTACCGTTTAAATACTAAAATACGTTTAACAATGCTATGTTTAAGTGGTTTTGAACTATATTCTCTTTGGATGCCCCTGGTATATAGCCACTCTACTGCTCCTGGTAGGGGAGATGATGAAGCCGACTATTTTTCTCGAAACTTTGTGTGCATATTAAGGACAACAACAACTCGCCTCATGGAAAGTTTCATCGATTTTTGTGTCCATTTTCTAGGAAATTTCCAGACCTAAACTTCGCCNTTTTATAGACGACTACACCAAGGTGGTGGTTTTAAATATAAAAAAAACGTGGGGGCATCAGATTTTTTAACAAAAAGAAAAAAAAAAAAAATAAAAAAAGGAAGCCGGGGGGCGCCGTTTGTGTAAATATCAAGGGGAGAACAAGGGGGGGGGCGGGGGGGGCCCGCCCCCCCCCCCCCCCCCCCCGCCTTATTTTTAGACCAAACTGAGGCCCAAAGGGCCAAAAAAGATGTTTTTGAGACCCCCCTTATCTCAGGGTCTGGATGACCGTGCCCCCCTCCCCCTTCCCCTCCCCCCTTATCTGAAGGTCTGGATCTGCCACTGAAACTGACAGTGTATAAATGCTATTAAAATGAATTACTTTTAATACCTTTTAAAGGCTTGACCACTGAACATTCATTACCAAACATTTGCCCTCTTTTGATTTGCATGATTATTTAGAAAAAATAATGTCTTCTTTGAATTGACATTGTGGTGCCTTGTTTTCTATTTTTTGTGCTTTATTACAAAATTAATAATTGTTAAATCCTTTTTGTTTTTTAGCTGGTGATGGAGAGCTCTTGCTTGGCGTCCCGAAAGTTAAACTTATTAGAAATGATAGAAGAGAAGGTACAAAAATGGCTTGCAGTATGCAGCCTGACTTAGCCTTTTGTTCTCTATTATTATTATCACAGAAATTAATTTATTATGTTTTAGTTTAGATAATGCAAATCATCATCATTGTTTATTTTATGTAATGTATTTCATATATTTATTTATTTATTTAATAATCACCTAAGATTTTTTGACATTTTCTTATTTGTGATCATTTTATTAGGTTTAATAAGATCTCGAGTGAAAGGAGCAGATATGGCATCAAGTAAAATTTTAACATTTCTTGACAGTCATTGTGAATGTAATGTTGGCTGGCTAGAGCCATTACTTCATAGGGTTGTTCAGGTAAGGAGGTATGCTTGTTAATTTGGTGAATGCGAAATGGCTATTTTTTGTGTCTAGTAACCAGCCTAGCAAGCGTTTCTAATCGAGTTATTGCGCGTTGCTCTCATCCCAACTTCGACGAACTCGCGCGGAAACACTTGCTATGCAGGCTATGTGTCTAGAAGCTTTGATATGCATAATGCATTCTAGTGTTGAAAGTAAGGTTTCATCTAGTTTATACTCTACATGTAGATGACTCTACATGTAGATGTACATGTACAAAGTAGGGAGGGATGCTATGTTCATGCTTTGACTTAATACATAGTACATATGTAGACCCGGAGGAGTCTAAGTCTGCGTTTCACTGAAAATAGTGACTAGAGTTCAACAAGCTTTGGTACATGTAATAGTACAGTAATTCATGTTAAATACTGAAGAGTAGTTAGGGTCAACCACTGACTATAGTGATTACGGTACACCACTTACCCGAAGTGGTTACACGTACACATACACGTAAAACTCTTTGTAACAAAATGGGGTCTAGCTGAGCTGTGTTTCACCTTCTCTTCTCCAACATATTATTTCAGGACAGAACAGTTGTAGTAAGTCCAATTATTGATGTAATCAACATGGATGACTTTAATTACCTTGGAGCGTCAGCGGACATTAAAGGAGGTGAGGAATGTTGTACTGCCGTACTTCTGTACATGTCGACAGTCGTTGCACTTCGTGCATTCACTTTAAATAAACGCATAACAATGAGCCCAAGGTGTAGCTAAGGTGTCCTCCGCGACCTTATGCTCTCATTTAGCTCGGCTTGTGTGTACGTAGCTATCGTGCGCGCTAAGCTACACCCTTCAATTCCTGCATGTCCCCGATCCCCCCCCCCCCCCCCCCCCCCTCCCACCCTCTGTTTTTTTTTTTTTTTTTTTTATTTCGATTTTTTTTTTTTTTTTTTTTTTTTTTTTTTTTTTTTTGTGTGTTTTTTTTTTTTGTTTTTTATAAAACACAAAAAAAAAAAAAAAAAAAAAAACAAAAAAAAACACCACAACCATCAAGAGACGGAGAACGTCTTGTTTTTTTTTTATTAAATAAACGCAAAAAAATGGGCCCCAGGGTGTTGCAGTGTGTCCCCCGCGCTCTTGTGCCCCTTTTTCGCGGCGCTTGGGTGTACCGGGCTTTCGGGCCCCCTAACCCTCCCCCCTTTATCTCCCTGTTCCCCCCCCCCCCCCCCCCCCCCTATTTATCACTATGCGTATTCTTTACTGTTCTGAATACATGTAGAGTTATTTTCATGTTCTTGTACTTTAGGATTTGACTGGAGTCTTCATTTTAAGTGGGATAACTTAACACCAAAGGAAAAGAAGGCAAGAAGAAACACACCCATAGCGCCAATCAGGTAAGGCAGTGAATCGTTCATTTTTTTATGTCTAGCCGTCCAGCCGTTCCATTCGATATCCACGATTCAAATTTTTTTTCAGCCTTTCAGCCGTTCACGATATCCGTTCGAACGGCTTATCCACTCGTTTTTTCAGCCGTTTGAACTGGTACCGTTAGGAACGAATTCGCGTGAAAGGTCAAAATTGTTTTAACATTTTTAAGACCTCGATTTGTTAAACGTTTTGTCAAACTTTACTGAATCAAACCAGTGGCCTTTTGCTAAGCAGAAGAGTGCTCTAATGACTACAGTCTAACCTCTCCTTATGGACACCTCTATAATACGGAGACATCTCTATTACGGACAGTTTGTTTTTGTCCCAGAAATGCCAAAAATCATACATTCCCTATATGCCTCTATAATACGAACACCTCTGTAAAGCGGATACTTGGTTCTGTCCCTTTGGTGTCCGTATTAAAGAGGTTTGACTGTGTAAGATACTTACGGTGAATGATCAACGTCAGTGTCATGTTTTCATAAAATACTAGCAATGCCATGCACATTTAAAGAATCGTCCTTCAAAATAATTAGAATGTTCCTTCAAAGAAGGTACATCTGTCATATTTTAGTAGAATACTTGGAAAGTGAACAGTCAATTAACTTTTCGGTCGTTATTGTTTGACAGATGAAACCTGGAGGTAAATTTTTCAGCTTGTAAAAATTAATACTCCGGCGCGCGCATTTGATATCTGCCAAACGCGGACTAGATGCGGATTGTTCTAGTCTGCTTTTCTCTCTTTTCTCTCTGCTATGCGGATGGTTCTAGTCTGCTTTTCTCCCTCGCGGCAGCGAGAGAGAAAAATGAGCTGTAGTCCCTCATTTTTCTCTCTCCCCGCCGCGTGTCGCCTTTTCTCGCATGGGGTGATTTTCACGCGCGCCCGCGTTGCGCTCAATCTACTATCCCTGAGGAAAAATGGGGGACTACTCAAAGTCTACCTTTTCCCAACGTATCTGTTTTACATGTTACATTCGTCCATAGGACTCCGATGATAGCTGGAGGGCTGTTCATGGTGGAAAAGGCTTGGTTCGAGACGCTCGGGAAGTACGACGTCATGATGGATATATGGGGAGGAGAGAACTTTGGTGAGCTTGTTGATAAAACGAATAATATAAACGTTGTTCACGGGGCCTTTTTTACTCATTTACTCATAATATATGTTGACTGTTTGTAGAAATCTCCTTCAGAACATGGCAATGTGGAGGCAGCATGGAAATTATTCCTTGTTCAAGAGTTGGTCATGTGTTTAGAAAGCGACATCCTTATTCGTTTCCAGATGGAAACGCCAATACCTACATGAAGTAAGTTGTGAATAATACTGTCGTGATATTCTATTAATTGCAGTCAAACCTACCTGGGTTATACGGACACTGAGGAACCATAAACAGTAAAATATTCTGTAAAATGTCTAGAATTTTTCAAGCCACAACAAAATTTTAACCTCAGCATTTGTAATGTTTTTTTTTTATTTGTTAGCAAGTAAAATTGCTGTATTGCGGTTCTATATGAAGGAATTTATTACTGATTTATCTAGAAACACCCGTCGTACGGCTGAGGTGTGGATGGATGAGTACAAAAGATTTTATTACGCTGCTCGTCCGATGGCCAGGAGTACCAACTACGGCAGGTAATCATCTATCATTAGAATGATTTTTAATCCAAAACCGAAGCAAATTATTTTGCCGCCTAGTCAAAACAGACGACCACGTAGACAATCCAGCAAACCAATCAGAGCTCGAAACAAAAGAATGTAGCCTTCAAAAATGGCGGGAAAACTGGTTTTTGTTTCACTCGTGATTGGCTGAAGTGGCGCGAGTGTTTTTCAGCCAATCGCATCTTCTGTATTGCATTGCTACACGATGTAATTGGCAAAAAACATCTCACGTCACTTAGTTTACCTATTAGAAGAAACATTGCAATCACTGGCGATGCACACGAACGTGTTTTACCTTACGTCAAGCCATCGTGTTGTGTTAAGTTCAATTTCTACCGGTTTCTGATTTGTGTTAGTTTGCTAAAACAATTGCTTCGTTTTTAGTTTTCCACTCAGTCTAACTGAACCATACAAATTAAGAGAAAATTGAAGAGCACGTCAAGCTGTACAAAACAACTGCTTGTGGTATGTTCCTTTTCAGAACAGTGCTAAAAGCGTTATAAATGTATTTTTGGGAAAGTGGTCAATAACGAAGCCATGCTCTTTCTTTTCAGTGTCAAGTCCAGAAAAGAACTACGCGAACGCCTAAAGTGCAAGTCTTTCAAGTGGTATTTGGAGAACGTTTATCCAGAACTACAGTATGTACATATTGTACCTTGTTTCTGGTGTCTATAAGGAGAAGTATCCATGTTTATTGATGCTTAAAAGTATTGTGGGTACTTTTTATCGCTGGGAAGCCGCTCATATCATAAACTTTTTTGTTTGGCTCTTTTGCTTTGTCTGTTTGTTTGTTTTTTAATGTACTTTGTTTATAAGCTATGAATATAACATTTATGACCCATCCACGGCTTTGGCGGGAACAGGTGCCATACAAAAGATGGTCTACCTTAGCAAATTTTTCCTGTGTCTTTAATGAAACTTGTGTTAACTGATTTTGCGCCATTCTTTATTCATTAATTTACCTGATTGCTTCTTATTGGTGTTTTAAAAGGACTAAAAAAAGTCATTAAAATAAGACACAAAAAAGGAAAGTGACACTGCCAGTTTGACATTATGGAGTCTAGCATCGCGTCTCAGTTCACCGAATTCGTATTCTCGCCAAAGGTCTGGGGCTCACGCGGTCGAGGCTCTTGCATGCCGCGCTAGGGCTCCTGGGAGGACGTTCGGGGTGTTCGCCCATGAGCCTCGACTGCAAGCTAGTTCTAGTTTGCCGCCGAAAATTCCAAGGTGGTTTATTTGAGATGAAGTCTTTTTTATTACTCTTATTTTTATTTCTTTACAGAATTCCTGACTCGCAAGATGTAGCGTTCGGTGAACTCAAACAGGGGAAAAAATGTTTGGATACTCTTGGTGGCCAGGCCGGCGGTTCTGTTGGCATGTTTGATTGTCACGGCCAAGCAGGGAATCAGGTATATTGCTCTGAACAACTTTATCTGACACTCACTTAACAACGAAATTTGTCACATTGTTTGCATTTATTTTGTCACAACCTGTAAGAGTTCAGATTCACTTGCTGCCAGCCTCTTTTTCAATACGAGGCAAAGAACGAAGTTTTGTCGTGAAAAAAGATTTGTTCTCATTCAAATAAAACCCATTTAACATGAAAGATTTAACGAGTTAGGGTTATTGGAAATCTCCAGTGGTCTATTTCCTTTAAAATTTATGAAAAATGTCACCCTCCGTAAGCAACTGAGATAAGGAAAATTTTTGTCTTGCATTTTTCACAGGAGTGGGCTCTCACGAAAAACAACTTTGTCCGGCATCATGATATGTGTTTAACGTTAAAGGACGCCACTCCAGGGAAACCAGTCATTATTGAAAGCTGTCGAGACGGAGATAACAAACAGGTTGGTACTTCTGTGCAATGGCAAGGGTTTTTTCAGTTTCCTCCAGTCGCGGTGATAGCCAAAACTGGACATATTTGGGTTAGCTGACCTTGGGAATAAAAGCAAGGTCAACTCGGTATGGGTAATGTTTTGGTATTACTGAAACTTCATAGTTGCGATCGGCGAGAAGCTACCAACCAATAAAAAACTAAATCTTGGTTAACAAACCTAAACAAGAACTTTAACGAGACTAATTAACGAAGGTCAACTCTAACATCTTAAACACGACTAAGTAACTTTCAAAATACTTCACAACACACATTTGGAAGCGTCTTTGTCCATGGAAAAGATCTTCAGGCAACTTTTGTAACATTTCTTTTCTTTTTCAGGTTTGGGAACACACACCTCAGCGCTTGTTACGTCACAAACAATCAGGACTGTGTCTAGATAGTAAAGACGTTAAGAGTGGAGAGCACGTGACCACAGACAACTGTGATAACAACAAATACTCCCAAATATGGCAATTTTCTCTCACTATGGTATAACATTAATAGTATTCTAGTATTCGAATAAATCCCTAATGTACTGTAAAATAAGACATTTTTAACTAAAAAAAACAAAACAAAACAAGCCTAATGTTTCCAGAACGGCAAACTGAGGCCTGCTAACGAATAGTTTAGCTCGCGTTGTAGGCATTCCAAAGAATGGAGGAAAGAGGAAATTCCCGACTGCTTTTACCTTGCGTTCCCGCATGCGCAATTCAACTTCCTTCCTCCCTCGTTTCCTCTTCCCGTTTCGTGGAAATCTACTCAAGGCCGAAAGTAGAATAGGCCATTTTGAGTTACAAACACCCTTGTTTTCAAAAGTCTAACTTTGAACTTTCCTGGTGAATGTGAGATTTATTTGCATGAGAAGAAGAATTCATTTGCGTATCAAAGACTTCGCACTTTAACTCGTTTTTAGAGCGAATGGTTGGCGTAACTCGAAAGTGGCCTGTTGAATCGGCATCCTGATATGGGGCCTCGGCTTGCCAGCAAATATGTTACTTAACTTAAGTTCAAGTTAAAATAGGAATATTTTTCCGCTGTAGTTTTTAATGAGAAAGAAGCTCATCGAAAATGTAAATTCTCTTATCCGATCTTACTCTTTTCTATTAAAAATCTTTTATAAGCAAACCAAACGAACAGTGATATAGATATTTTGTAAAATTTTGTACATCAGCATGTCAGATCGATTGAGAGGCAGTTGAAAAAAAATGATATACTATCTGCTTAAAAAGGATTGTTACGATCCTAACGTTTTTATTGTAATAAATTAAGAGTTCATATGATCTCTTGAATTAACGAATTACTTCTGAAACGACAGATATTGTTCTTCAGCTTGTTTTCTATTTTGCAGTGTTTAACTTTTATTTTATTTTAGGAGTGTTTTTCTATAGAATGCATATGTGTAGTGTACAGTTTGTCGAAAATTGAACTTTTGTAGAATCTGAATAAAAACTGAATTGCAGCTCCCAAAATAGTGTTTTGCTTGTTTGTTTGGTTTGGATTTTTGGGTAACACCTGCAAGCTCACTGTGCACAAAGTCACTGAACTAAAGATTCGTCAAGGTGTACCCATCCATGACGGTAAATTCAAAGTGACATCACCCTTATGGAGTCGAATCCACTACAAGCAATTTTTTTTGTGACGATTTTTGTTTGCGTGTATAAAAATTAATGGAACGGCAATTGGCACGAAAATGGCTCCATCCTACGCTTATCTCTTCATAGGAAAGTTTGAAGAACGCTCTCTAGCTAGTGCTACCCACTCTCCCCTTAGAGTTGGTAACTGGCGGGTTAGAGTGCGAGAGTGATTTTTGCAGCGGAGCGACGAAGGATTTTCGCTTATTCTTCTCATGGCTTAATTTTCACTAGTGCTTTTGTGATCTTTGTTAACAGTTATGTACGACAAAACCTGCCAGCTATGCAGACTACAGCTATCATAAGAAAATCGCCACAATCACATGAATCCCAGTTATATCAGGCAGATTTTTCGTTGACAATTACTTGAACCAGAAGGCTATGATAGTTTACTGGAGCGGGCCTGTACACCCAGCCTGGAAATATGATAATCTGTATTTTCAACTGCATTAACTTTACCAACTATCCAGCATACCTTAAAGAGTTATTTCACTTTAGAACCGTCTGACTATAGCTTAAGAGGTACGCTAAATCGTATTAACCTTTAGATTTCCACTTGGATCACAAGTGATTTCATAATGCTGTGGTTTCACAGAATCACGGCGCGCCACCGAGTGTTTCTGTTACTTTAAAAATCGCACTTAGGAGTTTAGAACACCATGGCATTACAATAAAACTCGCTTATTCAAGCGAAAGCATATTAGACATTAACCCTCAATTTTCTATTTTGCGCAGGTGATTTCATAATACCGTGGTGTCTAACCTCACAGAATCACGGGCGCCCCACCTAGTGTTTCTGTTGCTTTTAATCGCACTTAGGAGTTTAGAATCCTAGACTTTCAGCAAGAAAATCCGGACAGATGAAAAATTTTTAGGGGATAAAAATATGCCTATATCTACCGTTTAAATACTAAAATACGTTCAACAATGCTATGTATAAGTGCTTTTGAACTATATTCTCGTTGGGCGCCCCTGACCACAAGTCCAAAGGAATTTAGGCGTTTACTTTTTCCCCTAGCTTCATAAATTGCACTCTTTTTTTTCTATAAGAATATATGTTAAAAGAATATCAAGGCTGAAATTCGCAAAATTTTAAGAATTATAAACCCCAGACTGAGATATTGAAAAGGATATATTTTTGTGTTCAAAAGCTGTAAATACAATACAATTATATGTTTTCCACTTATTCCATTCTCTAAACGGGAAAAATAGGCAACAAAAGGAGAAAACATGAACTAACTATAACTGATACGCCCAGTATAGTCTAAAACGGAAATGTCATGAGCTATAAACTAAGAATAATACTAGAATATTTTCATCCTAAAATCGGCAGAAGAATAAGAATATTCAACCTGGACCGGAAAAACAACATTCTTATTTTAAAAAAAGAGTGTAGACGTTCTCTATTACTACCAGTTTGTGTTTTTAGGCAAATATGTTTTTAAGTGTGACGTTGTATGTGTAATTTATCGGAGATACTAGCCCTTGGCTACTCTAAAATCCGAAGTTAAATATAGTTATGTATGTATGTATGTGTGTATGTATGTGTCCGCCATCCCTGCGGGAAATTCTCAATTTTACAATCCCCCTGGTTGGCCCGGGCTCCCCTACCCCTGGGGTAAGCCGATCACATGTGCATCAATCAAATGAATCCAAATAAAACCGAACTCAGTCGAACAACTAGATGCGATTGATTTCCGCAGCTTTTTTAGCTCAAATTCGAGTACAATAAATCACTTTCTCGATCAACTAGTTTCATGTTATTGCCTTTTGAAAAGATAAGGAAAGTAAACTAGAACAAGAACAAAACCTGTGTTACACGAGTTGATAAGAGTAGTCAGTTAAAGTAGTCTATGCCTACCTGAGTGTCAGGCCTCACTAAGGGGCTGGGGGAGAGCAGATTTTAGATGGGGGAGGGGGCAGGGGGAGGGGGAGGAGAGAAAGGAAGGCCTGACACAAAACCATTTCAGCGAACCGTGTGATTACCGTCCAGTGACACATCCAAAATCTGGATGTGGCAGGATGTGACAGTGATATTGGATAACACACATCTAATTAACAATTATTCCTCGAGCCCGTATGCTCTGAGTCAATAGCCCATGAGGGCGAAGGCCAAATGGGCTATTGACTCAGAGGCCATGAGGGCGAGAGGAATAATTGTTTTAGTAAAATCCAACTAGTTGGTCAAAAATATCGAGAATAAAAACCTTTTAGCTAGTTAAAGCTAGACTTTAATCCTTTTTTGCCGCCAAAAAAGCTACTAGTGTGCTATTCCATATAACCTGCTATTCGTCGACAAGCGATCTGGGTACGAGTCACACAACGATTCACACAAATTCCTTGGTCGGAGGGTCGGTCGGAGGAATCTAAGATTGAAATCTAAGATGGCGTCAAACAAGAGGACGACTAGCATGGAAGACCTTTTCAAAAAGCAAGACAGAGAGATACTTGCACATACTAATACTTATGGTTCAGGTGGAATTAGGTTCAAGGGAAATGCAAGCGACGTTCTTTCTCTATTGAACCAGCTCAGGTTCGAAGGAGAAGGGGGATTTTGCGACGTGATCCTGGAAGTAGAAGGAAGACAATTGGCCACTCATCGATGTATTTTGGCGGCAAGCAGCCAATTTTTTTATAACATGTTTAGCAGTGGTATGAAAGAATCGAACCAAACACACGTTAAGTTGCATTCGGTTAGCTTCGACTCAGTGTCGCTCATTCTTGATTATTTTTACACGCGAGAGATCGTTATAAACGACGACAACGTGTTGGAGTTGCTCAACACTGCAAGCTTTCTTCTTGTCACCCCAGTGAAAAAGGCGTGCATTAAACTTCTCCACAGACAGTTAAGCGGTGAAAATTGCTTCAGTATCCTACAAGTAGCGGAGAAGTTTGGCGCAAGTAATCTTGCGAAGACGGCAAGCAACGCCATTAAATCGAACTTTTTCTCTGTGGTGAACAATGACGAATTTGTTTCCATTTCAAAGAAGAGTCTGATAAACTTCATATCGAGTGATGAAATTCAAGTGGAAAGGGAGGAAGAGGTCTACCAAGCTGTACTGAAGTGGGTTAAGCATGATGAAGTTAATCGTGCCTCAGATTTACCTGAATTACTAAGCCATCTGAGAGGGAAGTCTTTGCCTGAAGGGTTCCTAAAATCTGAAATGACCAAAGAGCCACTTCTCGCTGCCTTCTCCAGTCTTTTAGAACCTTCCAAGAGCAAGACCGAAACAAGAAGGACAAATGGGGATCATGGAAGGAGAACAGGCACTGATGACAAACCAGAAGCTGAGAGGACAAGACCCTCTACTGAATTGCATGATGTCATGATTGGAATTAGTTCTATACTGTTTAGTTCCCAAAAAGCATTCTGTTATGATTTGGACAAGAAAGAAACATTTGTTCTACCAGAGATTCCTGAGGTGCATTCCGCTCCAAAAGTGGCAGTTGTTGGACGCTCTCTGTACATAATTGATGGGTTTAAGTTTCATCATGTAAATGGCCCCACAAAATTAAGTGCTTTGTGTCTTGATGAAGTGCAGAATGAGAAGTCTTCTCTTAGTTTTAGTATGTACCCACAATGGAAGACTAAAAGACCTTGTACAGATAGCAGGACAGAGGCTTCCGTGGCGGAACTTAATGGGCTGTTGTATTACATTGGTGGATGGCGTGATGATGAAATTAGCTTGAAGACAGTAGAGTGTTACAATCCTGAAATTGACAAGTGGGTGTTCTGTGCAAGCTTAAACACTTCCAGATCTAGGTCAGGCTGTGTGGTAGGGAATGATCACATTTACATCATCGGTGGTGTGACAGTTCTTGAGCCATTGAATTTTAGATCACTTCTTTCAAGTGTTGAAAGGTTTGTTTGAGTTACTTAGAAGTTTTTAATTTATTTCTTACGTGGAAGTTATACAGAATATATAGATAAGTTATTGTCTACCTTGGCACATTGTAACAGTCTACAGTGTCAGTCAAAATTGTTGGGACACTTTACTGTCTTCTTTACCCTCCCAATGTTGGTGTGCAAGATTTGGTGAGTTAACCACAATAAACAACATTGGGAGGACGAGGAGACACTGGCCAGAAGTAAAAAAACAGCATTCAGTGGAAGTGTCCCAACTATTTTTATCTGAGACTGTGTTGGAGAAGGAATTTTAAAGAGATGTGACAGATGCCAAGGTTGAGTTGTTACTTGTTCACAGACACCGTTGTAGGGTGTTGGGGTGTCTATAGTGATTTTGCGAACGTTTCTACAGCAGTGAACTGAGTTATTTTTTATTTCAGTGCAGTACTGGAAAAATCAAAAGAACTGAGTGTACAGCATTGCTTTTAGTGTAGGACTGATTGGGTGATAAGAGCACATGTATATTTCTGTGTAAAATTCATGGCTTTCCCATATTGAGGGTTGTTCAAATGTACCATTTCTAGATGAAACGTGTGGTGAATAAAAAAGGCCTCTTCAAGCAACAAAGATTGTAAGCAATACAGCCAAAGGGGAAAATTCTTCAAATTAATTGAAAGAAGCTGAAGACAGCTTTAAAGAGAGATGAGGCAATTTTGAGAGAAAGAGGCCAAATTTTCCTCTTAGCAATGCAAGAGTCAGGTTTATAACCCCAAGACATATCAATGAAAACAGCATCTTTTTTTATCTTTTTTGTTTATTTTTTACATTTTGCATGCGTAGATATTTTTAAGTAAAGTGTTAATAATTATTATTCATGGTAATCACTTTAATGAAGAGTTAGTGGACATGTGCATTATACATTAATACAGACTGTCAAACCTCTATTAAGTGGTCACCCTTTGGGAATTATGGCATACTGACTGCTCAATACAGATTGACCGTTTAATACAGGTTTGACAAACGTGAGAGTTATTCAAGAAAACTGAAGGTGGTCAAAGAGTGAAATATTTATCCCACAACAAATTGACCTCCACCTGTTTCTACCTCTTCTTGGGCCAAAAAAAAAATGGTTAAAGACCACTTGACGCCACACACAGTACGACCTGTTCCACTAGTATGATACGTTTTCTCAAAGTGACTGTTTAATAGAGGCGAAGACAATAAAATATCATTCATTGGGACCTCAGAAAAGGGTAACCGCTTAATAGAGGTACTCTTAATACAGGTTCGACTGTAGTCATGTGTATAACTATTATAAATTACTATTATTTATTAGTATTATTATTAGATAATAATGAGTTAAGTTCAATAAATCAGTCAGTAATTTATTCTTACCAAATTCTCATGAACCTGTTGGTTGCCTTCGGCAGGTATGATCCGGAAGCAGATTCTTGGTCATACGTTGCCAGTATGAAACAGGCAAGGGAACGATTTAGCTCTGTACACTTGAATGGCAAGATCTACGTGATTGGGGGGCTTCTTCCTGATTCAACCAACTGTGAAGTATACTCTCCAAACACGGATGAGTGGCATTCCATTGCAAGTCTACCTTCTCCTGATCCTGTAGGGCATGCTATTGTAGCAAAAAACGAGATTGTGGTTCCTTTGTCACCTTACAGAAGTCATGATTTCCCCCATGAAGCTTTGAAGTATAATGTGCAATCTAATGCATGGCAAATGGTAGACCATTTTGGTCCAAACAGAAAGTTGACATCTTTTACTCTCTGTACCATTAAGCTGCCTGCAATGTTTCTGCAAAGGTTGCCCAAAGCATTAAATTTAGAATATTTTCTTGAAGACTCTAGTGAAGGTGATACAGAATTGGAAGAGGATTCTTGAAGAAGGGATAATGATACAGTTTTCATTTCTTTGGATGGCGTGCTGTGCATGCCTTTCATGTCTTTCATGATGAGGCATTTGATTCCAGCGACGATAAAATTATCGCTTTTGGTAAACAGCTTAGAACCTTCGCTTAAGTAACCAGCAGCAATTTAAATGTTATTGAAGCATAGCCTGAAAGAAAAATCCTAATAATGCTGACTGTTTCGATGACTGGCAGCCATCTTTATCAAAACTAAAAACATCACAGGTGTCAGTAGCCCTAAGTAGGCTGCTGAAGGTGTTTATTGAAACAAAATGCAGAAAGCCACTCTGTCAAGGCCACTCCTCCCTCCCCCCTGGTTGGGGGTGGAAATCACTTGGGTCCCCATATAGGAGATAACTGTTATGCTCCCTCTTCCCTGTTCATGGTAGGAGTGTCAGCATCATTAGGATTTTTCTTTCGAGCTATGCTTTAACCCTTTAAGCCCTGGTATTCACATAGAAATTCTCCAAACTGATCTCCATACATTTCCTTAAAGAATTAGTTGTGAGAATTTGAAAATAGATCAAGGCATTTTCTCTTGGGTGATCATTTTATTAATTCTCATAACTTATCTCTTGACAGTGTCTGGATATTGTTAAGAGAAAATTGCTGTTGGTCACTATTGGGACTTAAAGGGTTAAAAACATTTGAATAGATATGTGAAAGTTCTAGCCTTATGAATTTCTTCAAGTGTTTAAAGATTTTAATTTTGAGATACCAGTACATCGTTAGGAGAAAAAGTTTAAAGACAGAATCCGTCAGGAAATTAAGTAATATTTTAATTTTCAGTGAACAAAACCCTTGTACCAGACTAATTTAAAGCATATCGCCGTCTTTTTTTACATTTTTCAAGGGCTAAAGATGTTCACCTTTTGCTGTTCATTACGAGAAAATACGCAATCATTTGCGTGAAATGGCGACCAAAAGTGCGAAGATACATTCATTAGCGCGAAAATACGAACATACGAATTTCTATTGTTTAATTAAAAATTGATTGTACAAGTGCATTAATGTTTGCCTTATCCATTCTAAAGCTGTCCAGGAATGTTATTGAATTGCAAACAGTGTCATAAAAATGTTAATGAATAGCGTTTGCTCTTAAATGTTTGTCTATTGTCCCTAATGATTTCAAGATAATGTTAATGACTCGAATGTTGGCGTTAATGAAAGTATGTTTTTCTCTTTTGTATGTCAAATGACGGAAATGAATGCCCAAAAATGTTATTGAATGTTGATTAAAATGCAAAAATTGTAATTGAATCTGATTTATGCGCAAATGTTCGCTTTTTCGTGCTAATGAATGTATCTTCGTGCTGTTGGTCGCCGTTTCACGCAAATGAATGCGTATTTTCTCATAATGAACAGCAAAAGGTGTAATTAGTCATCTGTAATAACACCAAAGAAAATTTCTTATGGGAGCCCGAAAATGGAAATGTATGGACATCAGTCTGGAGAATTTGTATGTGGATATTTGGGCTGAAAGGGTTAATTTTGAGGACTCTGTTTGCTCCATATTTTGTTAATATTTTTTGAGGTTTTCACCATGTCTTAATCAAGCATTAACATTTTCATTTTTTTTCATGTTAGATTTTACCAGTTACTTACTGTTTTTAACCATCATAGCCTTCTAAGGAAATATTTAGTGCTTGTGCCCCAGGTAGTGTGCTAGGTGACATGTAGTAAAAGGTACATGTATTAGTTCCTGAAAATTCCATTAGAATGCAATGACTTTGTTTTGGATACAAGTTTACAGAGGTTTTGCCTACAACACACAAGAGGATTTTATCATAATCTTGCATACGATAGTCCCTGCAAGATGAAATATTCTCGGCAAGAGACTTAAAGGTGTCAGTAACCTCTCAGACACTCTATTTTTATAATTAAGCTCATTAAAATAACCATATAAAGTTTTAAGGTATGAAACAATCGTTAAAGTGGTTCATTTGATACACTGTGAAAGTCCACAAGTCTAGCTTCCATGGGATTGTTGAGGTTGATCACCAAGTACAAAAGGTCGCCATCTTGATTTCTAGCTATTTTTTAATATTTTGTGCCAAAACTAACCTGTTTACACTCCCTCCACCTCCATCCCCTTTAAGGAAATAAACTCAGCAAAAAATCTGGAAATGGGCTTTTTTCCTGAGTGGAGGGGGCAGTTTTACACCTTACAAAGTTATTGCAGCAAAAACTCTAAGAGGCCAAGACTAGATACTACCAGCGAACCTTGAGAGTGGGCGCTTATTGGAGGCTGGGCGCTTATTAAATTTTCACCATTTTCAGCAAGTGAAGTATGCTTACTTTGCAACAAAACAATAAATGCTAATAACAAAACGCGAAGATGGAATCCATCGGACGACTGTCCAACCCTCCTCTAAGTATTGTTTACACTTCCGGTTTTATCTCACGACTAAACTTCCGGTAACTCAAGTGGACTCTACTGAACTTCCGGTTTCATTTTTCGACTAGACTCCGTCGGACTCCAGGTTTTGTCCACTGGAATCTTGTCGAGAGTATTGGACATGTGTGGAGCGGACTCGTGGCTTTAAGAACGCGTTATGCCATTCGCGTAGCGTGCTCGTTTCGGCTCATTGCTTTAAGAACGAGTTATATTTTTTGTGTAGCGTGCTTGTTGTGACTCATCGCTTTAACAACGACTTATGTGTACCGACGTCCGTGCTTGTTTCGACTCATGGCGAGTTCTGTTGCCTGTTAGGTTAGGATGGGCGCTTATTCGAGGTGGGCAGTAATTCAATCAATCAATCAATCAATCAACTTTATTTAAACACAGTAAATGGCTCAGCAAGCTGGTTTTCAGACATGCCGTGTGATAATTACAATTCATAAAAATTAAGACTAGTGATTAACTAACAATAATTAGCACAAGAATTGACAATTTAATCTGTTCCTATCGCAGGGGCGGATCCAGGATATTTTTTAGGAGCGGGTGCACTCGTCTCTACGAGATGAAGTTGTGGTTATTTGGTGTATCAAGAAAAAAAAAACGTCTTATGGTCAACATAATCTTTTGGCGTCCAGTAGAGTCCCTCCCCACGCGTGGGGGACGTGGGAGGGGCTAGATCCGCCCCTGTATCGACTGTCATATACGTAACTATCTAGCTTATTCGAGGTTGGGCGCTTATTCGAATGAATACGGTAACTTTTCTATATGCTGACTATGAACTTTAAAGGAATTATGTATCGGATAATTCTACTGAAAAACTACAAACATGCCCAATTTTTAAGGCAAATTTGATCGAGCTTATAGAAACCCTTGTAATGAACTTTTATTATAGAATATTTTTTACTGTTTATTGATCTGTCCTCTACGCAATCCATATGCAGAAAAATGCCTACAGTCATTATTTTGCTCGAAAAACGGTAAACCATAAGCGCAGGTAGGCCCCTTTGTAACCAATTTCGAGTTTAAGCATTAGGGCCCCTCTGCCTGGAATTCCATTCTTGATAATGATATGAAGCTGTCATCCTTATATATGTTCAAGAGTAAATTATATTTGAAAGATACTAAATAGAAATTGTTTTGTGCGATCAATATATGGACATTAATAATAATAATAATGTACTTTAATATTTTTGTCACCACTGTTAAATACTTATCAAATGAATTTTGTTTATTCATTTACTTATTTAGTTACTCCTATTTTTCTACGGCATTAACATTTCTTTCTCTTTTTTCTTCTTTCGCCGCCTACGGTTACACTAGCTGTACCATGGGTGCCAGAGACTTTTCTTGGGCGGTTTCCGGTCGTTGTTCGAAGATGTGTCGAAACACGGAAGATCCCCGCTACACATGAGAAAAAACCTCTGATACCCAGGGTACACCAGCCGTTTCACCCGTGGGCAAATGACTGTTGCCCACGGGGAAGGAACTTTTTGTGTGTGACCGACTTTGCCAAAGTAAAAATTGCTTGGGAAAATTTCCCCGGATACATCGAAAAGAACAAAAGAATTACCCATGACAATGACAGTTCCTCAGGTAAGTTCTATGGGTTAAGGGCGGAGCCTGCGCGCAAGGCAGAGCCTCCATTGCTATAGAAATTTGAAACCTATCGATGCTCATTTGATTATGACGTCAGCGTACGCCTCATGCCGGTATATACAGACTCTGGGGGTAGGAGAAGGGAGACTCTGCAAGGGAGGGGACGGGGGAGTTGCAGCTTGCGTTTGTCTTGGCGAAATGCTAATCAGTTCGGCAGCAAATGGAGTTGTTGCTGTACAAATATATTTTAAGGAAGGCTTTGCTTTTAGCTTGTCACGCTTTTTGTCACGCTCCAGGACCAATCTTTTCTCAGATTAGGTAAAGTTTTGACAGAATTATTCATGCGTCAAAACTTATGAAGCATCTTGAAGTTTGTTTACCGACAACTGCATAGCCTGAGAAAAAAGCCGACATTTACGGTTTCCCTGCGAAATGACCTGTGAGGAACGACCGCAGAAATTCCATACTGATGACGCGTCACTGCCCATATCCGGGTAGTGCTTCTGATGGGATGAATTTTGCATATGTTTTAACTGCTATTAATTTAAAAGCATCCATTAGAAGAATGAAAAGAACGCCTCGCTCCCTTTTTTTGATAAGTTTTATTCGATAGCTCGAGGAACAGCTGGGACTTCCTGCCTGGAGGACTCGTGACCCTCGCTAGCGCAACAAATGGTGAAGCACCCGGCCCGAAAATCATCGCTCATAACGCAGAGTATCAACGGGTTAATAACGTGTTTGAGGTAAAGCATGGTGAGCGTTATCAGGTCCACGTACATAAACCAAGGCTTGGTAATCAAATCAGGGACGAATTCTCTCATCAGCATTATCATTGCGCGGGGAAGGTAACACAAATGAAACCCTACCACAATCACCACTAACATTCTGACAAGACGCTTCTTCTGATGAAGACGCTTTTTTAAGGCTTTCCATTGCAAAGTGTTTGTCTTGAAAGATTTCGCATAAATTCCATCCTTGGCTCTGAGGACACGAATGATGTCCACGTACCGTACTAACTGCAAAACTAGAGGCACAACAATGAACAACACGACAAGGTAGATTTTGTATGCAATTCTATATTTATCACTAGTGAAACCTAGAGAACAGTAGTAATAACCGTCGCCTGCTAGTTGGTTCTTGAGAAAAATCATCAAAGGTACCCCAGCTGCCACGTAAGAAGCCAACCATATCACCAGCACGACAGTCTTGGCTCGTTTCAGCGTTATCTTCTGCTTGAAGGGAGAGGCGATGGCGCGATGCCTTTCAAACGCGATTACGGTGTGCGTGTTGACGGACACTGCTACGAAGACATCTTGCAGAGGTGCGAGAACATAGCACATGGCGTCTCCGAAGATCCATCCGCGAAAAGTTTCGATGATCCTCAATGGGGCTGCGAGGACGCAAACACCCAAGTCAGCCAAGCAGATATTGGCAATCAGAAGATTAAACGCTGTTCGCATATCCGGCCAACGTATCAAAGTCGCCATCACAAAACTGTTACCAAGAAGACCGAAAAAAATGATCAGCGAGAAAAACAACGTGGTAAAAATGTATAAGGTCGTACTGATGTCATTTGTCGGTGATGGAGTAGAGTTCAGGGCAGTGCTGGTATTCTCTCCGGTTGCGTTCATGGAAGGCTGTATTTCGTTCTGTGCTGTGATATTCATTGTTTTCTCTATGTTGCAATACAGAAAGGTACAGTTTCGATTTGCCAGAGGTCAGCTGCTTTATGTACTATGATATAGCGTCCTTTGTTTGATTAAACTAAAATTGATTGCCGTCAATATATGACTGAGCCTTTTCCTCTTTATGAGATGTATTTATTATTACTGAAACTAGGTGTAGTTCTAATATCTGTCAAAGATAACAATTGTTTGCACTAGGAACAAAATTGGCCCCAAAGCAATACTACAAAAGACCCAAGCATGGCAATTCACAATCCACCCGTCCTCATTAGTATAAAGATGGGAAGGTGTAAAATACATTTATAGAAAAAGAAAAGGAAAAGCAGAAATAAGATTCACCTGATAACGGAAAATAGCTGAGATGTGAACCAGTGAACTTTAGGGATATTGACGGATATGTCACATAGGTTAGCTGCAATGGCGTTCGACGAAGAGTGTTAGGGACAACAAAACGATTTAATTTGAATAAATTAACTTTCTGATATTAAAAACAAGTTAGAGACTCTTCCGATTAAAATTACTCTATTAAGAGAAATTAAAATGACGTCCTTAATTTAGAGAAGAAGCGTTATATTATTGATGACTACTGAAGTCCAGATGTGCCGTTAAATAAGCCTCTTTAATTAAAATGGTCCATGAACTTTTAAAATCAAAAAACCAAAAAACAGCATCGTGTGCATGCGCAATACCTTTGTTTAATGGCTTAAATCGTTGTCGGCTTAGCTCTTGCAAAGAAAATTAAAACATGAGATCAATTAGCAAATGCTAGAGAGAGGAGAAAATAGGAATATTAGACCACTAAACGTGAAAAAAGCCTTCGGCGATCTGCAAAACAGATCAGGGCTTAATTAAACGTAGCTAAGAAAGCTGGAATGAAATGTAAAACTGTCAACTGGTATTTTTTTTTGTCTTATATTTCAAGTTTCACCGGTAAACCTTTTACGGGTGCTATCATGGTGAAAGAAAAAGATCAGTTACTGAGGGGGGCGTAAGGGTTTGCGGTGATGCGGTTTTGCGTTATTTTTGGTGCGGTTTCGCGGTAATTTTTATTTTAACTCGCGGTATTGCGGTTTCAAAACACTAAGCGGTTTGCGGTTATTACAACCTTTAAGTCGCGGTTTTCGGTGAAAAAAAAGTGTCTGCGGTGATAACACTCTTTAGAACGGTCGGCATCCGGTTGTTTTGCAAGCGCGAGCCAAGTGTTTTGTTTTACAACGCATCAGGGTTCATTTAATATCAACTTACAATTTAACTCTGTGGTTTGCAATTACGGCCTTTTCCAGTGTAAAATACTTAATGTGATTAACCGTTTTGGCCAATGATGCGTCGACTTCGTGAAATTCTATGCCGGATGTTAGCTCGTACAGCCGTACAGCCTCGTGTTCTCGTTGCTTTGATTCAGTGCGCGACAAATGGCAAATGAGGTCGTCGAGGTCGCAACTGAAAGCGAAGAGGACGTGGCTGGGTGGCAATCTTCTATGAAGAAGGAAAGGAAGACGTGAACTCTTTACGAGACAAGAAGGTCACAATTCCAGAAGAAACATTTATTCCCCGTTCCACAACTAGCACAGGGTCGTCCAAAGTAATCAGTCACCCAATGTAAGACATACAGGATCAGTGACAGAGTTTTTAAAGTCAAGGGAGATATCAATACTCGTTAAAGTACATGACCAGCATACTTGGCATTTGGTTAGTAGTAAATAGAGTATAATACACTGTAGTCAGGGGCATAGCGTCCATATACGCACGTACGCCCGTGCGTACAGCTGAGATCTGCGAAAAACATTTTTTTCTCATTAAATTTGCTGGCTAATAATTTCATATTTTCACATTATACTGGCTTTTTTATTAGAATTCCCATTATCCAAGCATCAATCATTCAGTGCTGGCCACTAATAATGGCCACTAATGATATCAATCAGAATAAACATTTAGGTGTTATAATCTCATTCCAGGTAGGATGCCGCCAAAAATGTATTTTCTATTTTATCTCCGAACGCAAATTTTGCCGATCGACTCGTACGTTTTGAACTCCAAGTCGGCAGCCTTTCAATCAATTTAGCTAAAATTTGGCCAGAGTGATGCCATATATCTCTTCTACAAAACTGTGTGTGCGAATTTTAATACTCCTTTTCATTTTAAAGCTAGAGCTTTTTTTCCACAGGGAGTGTTGAATAATTGCCTTCCCCAACTTCATTTGCTAATAAAAGAAAAAC